CTCATGCTTGTTTGCAGTGTGCGACATGTATTTGTTCGCAGTCAATGAGCGTTGTTCATTGGCTTTGCATGTCTTGTTCCCCTTTGCTTGCTTGATACGGACTGATGCTTAGACGAACTTCGTCGCCCGTTCATGTAACTTGAGGTTAGGCATGTAGAGCCTGCTTTAATCGCTTCAACCATGTAGAGCACATGACCACCAGTAGCTGGGAGGAACTCCCAGACAACATCAGAGGGTCGGAAAAAGCAAATGTGCCTGCCCTCACGAACATGGCAACGCAGGCAAGGCACTTCAGCTCGATAGATCCGAGTTCCGAATCCGATTCCCATCTGGCCGCGTCTCGGAACCCGTGATATCGGCAGCAGTTCACGTGAAGGGCGGACGGCCTTACGGCCTCGTGATATCGCACGATGGATCGTGCTCATATCACTCAGCAGTTAGCTATTCGTTGTTCTCTCTGCCTGAGCTTTCAAGCGCCATGTAGCTTGACAGACAGAAGCTAGGCCAGTCAGCCAGTGGGGTTGGATGGGAGAGATTCCCTTCCGTAGAAGCGCTCATCGCGCCCATTGGCGTTACTCACTGACGCGCTGACGCTGACTGATATGTGAATGATGGATGGGAGCGTGCTTGAGATCGAAGAGCCGCCTCGAGATCTGCTGGCAACGTGGCGACAACGTCCTGACGTGTCCAAGCAGAACCGCGTCGGAATCAGCTACAGAGAGCCAAGCATCTAACCGCAGGGGATTTGCTTAAAGCTTGTTCGTTTATCCCCAGAGGCCAGTGGACCTTTTTCTCGGGAGGACACAACATGTCCACCTGAAGCACTACCTGCAGAAAGAGACATACATACAGTCATGTATCGTCTTGTTTACCTCTCCTGCGAGTTGGCTGTTCTGTGTGCTAACGAGTATCTCCATCAGCAGAAGAACATAGAAGCCAGAGCATTCCGGCTGCACAACGTCAGCAGTAAGCCTTGTCCCTAAGGCAGTTTCTAGTGTTAGTCCCGGTAAGGAGCTTTCTGTCGCCCTGAAGCCGAAGAAGAGGCGCAAGCAGGGGGAGCCCTCTGACCCTTCGCAGCTCTGGATAGACCACGAAGACGACATCTGCCAGACCAGAGGGGCCTTCCGCCTTGTGCCTGAGGCGTTTCGCCACCGACGCTTCGAGTGGACAAGAAGATACTCGTCTTGGACAGGCCGACCATCGAAATCGACAAGACCGATGCAAATGGGGAGGCCAAGTACGAGCAGTTGGAACCGACGCCATCTGACGAGAGAGACCCTTTCGATTTGTGTCGCTTGATCTCTGCCGCGTACTGCAGGCCTTCGGTTTCGAAAGATGAAGTGCATGCGCATACCACAGGAAGACGGGGCAGCGCTGTGTACGGCATTAAGTCGACTCTGTCGTATGTCGGCCTACCGGAGTACGTTTTCTGCGTAGGAAATAGCAAGCTTGTTATGAAGGAGCACGGGCGAAAGACGGGACGCCTGTGGCAGGCCAGCGAGCCCTTCGTGGTCGAAGGTACAAATCACTGCGGGCACGGCTGTGTGGTGCGTGTGTCGAATAAGAGCCTGTCGTTGCCTTCAGGCCAAGCGGCATTCGTCGATCGCAAAGGCGCAGGTCAAGACACCGAGACGACAGCAAGCGAAGAGGTCAGGACAAGATAGGGATGCGTTCTGTGGTTCATGTCTCTGGTCTCCTTGTTTCAGAAGACCATCTTTGAGGCCTGTGCTGAGAGCGATCTAAAGGCACTGATCAGATTCATCGACGAAGGGGGGGTCCAAGTGTCTCGAACTGGCCGATGACGATGGATTCACGCCCCTCTACTATGCCGCACAGAACGGCCGGCTGATGCTGACGAAGGAGGACGACAAGCGAGGAGGAAAACACCTGATCGAGAAGCCGGGCGTGGATGAATTGCAGATGGATAGGTTGCACAGATAGAAAGGCACTGCAAGCTTCATCAGTAGTCTGTCAGGCCGGACCTTCGAGCTGATAGACGGAATGACGGATGGACGGATGGACAGAAGTGAATTTCGATTTGTTGGCGGACAGAATGACGGACGGACAGATGGACAGGAGGGACCTTCATTTTTACGCGCTCTCAGTCTCGTGTGTGTCAGAAAAGGTGCTTGAAAAAGTGACCGACTGTGTGGCTTAGGTGCTTGAAAAAATGACTGACTGGGTGGCTCAAAAGAGGTGTGCATAAACAAAAGCCGACAAGAGTCGTATGTGTGAACAAACACAGACAAAAGTGGAATACACAGACGTATGCCAAGAACAGTGTGTATCTGTATATATACACAGCTCGCACACTGAACACACCATCATGTTCTGACTGTCTGTCCCACCGCTTACACCGTAAGACAGACAGCAAGAAGCATGACAATGTAGTTCTTCTGCGTGTAGCGAGCGAGCGAGCGATAAGCATAAGCATATGTACACACAAGGCTCACACACGCCCCATCATGCATCCTGTCATCTGTCCGAGCAGACAGACAGCAGGAAGCAGACAGCTACGTGTGGCGAGCCAAGTTGGTGAAGAAAGCTATCTTGGGGAGCCAAGTGAGCTTCGGTCCGCCAACGGATTGGCAGCACGGCATGATAAGTCCGTGATTTCGCAGATGCGATGAATAGAGGCAGCTGCAGCAGATCGACCTCTAGAAGCACTCACTCCTAAAAAAGGAAGCATTCACCCTTGTCGGAATCCGCTTCACTCTTATCGGCAGTCGACAATGGTGAACACAATGGTGTTAGTGCTGGCTTTTGTCGCCTCGGCCCTATGCGCGGCCACTAGCGTCGCCGATCATCCTGCGCTGCATCTGCTTTTTAGCGAGAACCAAACTGCCGTTTTGACGAAGCGCTCGGGTGCATCGGGGAAGCTCGTTGTCAGTGATGCCCCACCTGTTCAGCTGAAGCGCTCTCATTTCGAGGTCACCGAGATCCTTTCCAACGTGACAAAAGAGTCCGTTGAGCTTCCTAGATGATCGATTGATGTGAAAGGGGTCCGTTGAGCTTGGAGGTTTGCTTGGTGTGGTCAGTCAAGATGATGAATGGACTGGTGAGGTGGTGATGGACAACAGAGAAAGGGCTGACAAGGTCATCAGCAATATCCACTCGTTCGCATCTGTCAACAGCACTGTCGGAGGAGAGCTCGTTGGCGGCAACTTAATACTGAGCCAACACTACGTCTCCGCCGAATGTATTTGCTATCCTAACTTGGCCAAGGTGACATTCCCTTTCTATCGTTCTGACGTTTGCGACCGCCCGATTGCTGGCATTATCGTCTTCGATAACGGCCCTGAGAGCCATCACGCCCTCCTCGTGAAGGATGAAGATGATAATGATGTTTTATGTCCGGCGGTCGTCTTTTTCGATACAACGGCGTTCATCAACACAACTTTCGAGATTCGCCATGATGTTCGGGGGGAACATTTGGAGTCGACGCTATGGGTTAGGAAGAAAGCGGGAAGCACAAACGGTAAGGAACAGAGTGTTCGGACGACTTACAGGAGGTTTGCTAATGTCGAGTTTGCTCACTTGACAGCCCTGCAGCCTCTAGCTATTGTCGATGCTCGAGGAATCCAAAGAGGCCAAGATCTCAAAGGGTTGCATCTCCAGCTAGAGCGGATCAATATTCCAACTCAAGACTAGATCAGCTATTGGATCTCTGATTACTTCTTTCAAGCTGAGCGACTCGGTCGAGAGGCTCTAACGGAGGATATCGAGGCGTTGTTGCGACGGGATTCAGAGATTTTGAGGAGCGATCGAATAGACGACCTACGATCGACATGGAGTAGAAGCGTCTTCTTCGCTAAAGTCGGGGTGCTCGTTCTATTTGTCTTTGCCTTTATCGAGAGTATGCGCAAGCTCTCGGAACTCACCATATGCAAATCGAAGGCAGAAATGCGCTCGAAGGCAGCCGAAGTTGTGCTGACGCTGCTTGTTATGAGTGGCTCGATATGCTTTATCATCTTCATGTTTGATCAAGCTCGAGAGATAAGCAGCAACATCCAGGACAACAACGAGTACTTGAAATCCTTACGTTCGACCGAAGTGGTATTTTTTGATCCGAGTTTGGCTCTACTGAGTTTAGTAATGCGGGCTTGCTGAATCTCTATGTCGCAAGGATGACGCACTCTATCGCCGCTCCAGACCCAAGCACGACAGATGCCGACTACCCCATTCTCCTGGTCAAGTGCGGGTGGGCAATCTGGGGTGGTGTCTTGCTGGCATTATGGGCAACTGGTCTTGTCCGCATCTCGAAGAGCTTCTGGGAGAACGCTGATATTTCATGCATTTTTCCAAGACAAAGGTCCCAAGACGACTACCCTGACATCTGCGCTTTTGTGGGCGATGCACTTATTGGCGTGTGCGCTGTTTTTCTGTGCTTCTGTACTGCAATACATTGGCTAATATTGGCCGAGCCCTTCGTGACTTCATATGTCTGTATTTGCCCTGTCGATTGCCCCCAGACAGACCTGAGGCACTTGTTTAGTATTGTTTAAGCTGTGCCGTCTATGGAAGAGAGGAGGGGAAGGAGAGGCAAGGAAGAGTCAAGCGTAAGGAGTACGGCTTAGCGAGCTTGCTGACAAGCAGTCATTTGCATGTCTCTCCCTTCTATTAGTGCATTC